CTCATGTCCAGAGGCAGCACTGGAGAAAGGGGAGGCGGGAGACGGAGCGGGGCCGGGCTGCGCCGGTTCCCAATGCCTGCTCCCTGTGAGCCGTCCAAGGGCGTCTGGCGGGAGCATGAGAAAGGGCTCCTCACTGGTATTTCCTGCTTGCTGTGCGATCTGGCGGCGTTGCCAGCAATGGTGGGGCCAGGACCTCGAGATAGCGGCGCGCTGCATTGCAAAGCCATGGATTTTGTAGTCTCCGATGATCCCCTTCATCCCTGAAGTTAACCCCAGCTAACAGCATTGCATGCAAGACCCCTTCATCCCAAGACCCTCAGTGTTTACTCCAACCCCTTCACAAGACCTCTGCCTCCCTAACTCAAAGGCAGCTTCCACTTTTTCCCTTTAAAATACAAGGCTTCTGATACACAGACACCTTAGACCCTAATGAGTAACAGATCACACAGAGAGAGTTACGCCTCTGGACACAAACAGTCACCCCCACAGTGATAATCCCTGCGTTAGTCAAGATCCCTGATGGTAATCTTAATTTTGTTGACTATCTGGTAACTAGTGGGAGACAGAGTACAAAAACCAAAGCCTCACACAGCTGGCAGTAATTCACAGGGGGAAAATGCTCCCAGTTGCTTATTTATTATAGCAGCAATACCTCAGAGTCCATGAAGCTCGTTCAGCGTGAACAGGATCTATCTTAAATGTTTTTAACAGGGAGCAGCAAGAAGAGATGCAGGCACTGGAAGGAATCTTCTGCTTCTGCAGGCTTTCGCCCCTTTAAGCCAAGATCCTAAAGACCAAAAGCAAAGCCTCATATCCCTGCAGCAATCCTCCATCCTTCCAGCAGTACCTCACGTCAGGATCAAACCCTTCCAGAGCTCCATCAGCTATCCAAGAGGTTCTGATGCTTTTACTCCTTTAAGCCAACTTCTTAGCTATGCAAGCAAGCCTTTCCCTTTTATCTTTCTGGCACAGGTTTTTGGGTATGAATGTGGCCCTCATCCCTCTTCTTCCCAGCATCTCTCCGCAGGTCACAGCACTGCCCACCTCCACACAGGATGCCATTAAAAATTACTCGCTCACCAGCACTATAGTACGTATTTTAGAGGTTTTTACTGTACTTGTATGATATCCAAATACCTCTGGGCTACAGGAGAGATACTTTCCTTTTTTTTTCTGTTCTGCCTTTATGTAGCTATAAACTAGGTCTCCAGAGCAAGATATTTTTTAGGGAAATGAGTCCCATTACCCTGGCTCTGTTACTTAAAAGATGCAACACTTTACACCAGAGGATAAAAAGCCAGCTATGTAGTAAGTGAGTAGTTAGGCAAAAGGAATGAGCAATGCAGGATTTAGCCCAAAGTTGTTCCCCAAAACAGAGGTGATGGGGAGGCAGTGTAAGGACACGGATAAGGTTCCTGGCTGGCAAAGTGGATGGGCAACAGCAGTGAGCTGGGATGGATGCAATGACCAGACTTTTTTTTTGACAAATCAGGTGAATATCACACGTGAAACTCAAGAGCTGCTCGAAACCAAAGCTTTGCAAGATCCAGCTTCTCACTTTCAGGTCAAGGACAACATTAGGACATCTCCAAACCTGTCATGAGACACTGTGAATTTTTGGGTTCATAACAAGAGAGAGCTTTATTTGGAGACCAGGGGAGTTATTCCATTTTTTTGGATTATACCCCAAACATCTACAGACTACTGACATATCAGCTTTTTGTCCTTCTCTGAAGCTCTCCTCATGCAATGCCAGCATCAGATCAGCCAGCACCGTCTGAGTGCACTTCCAGAGTTACAAAGATCCCATCTGTCACACTTTTAAATAATTGGCTGATCATTATGAATTCATTTGGTATTCATTGTGATAATGTTAATCAAGATGAATTAATAGAGTCCTCATACTGTGTGCGCTCCCTTGGGAATTCCACCACCATTTAGAAATTAATTAATGGACCTATAATTTTAGTGGTGCTGCCCATGCAATCACGGTTACCGGTAGGCATGGAGCAGGTACCCGATCACAGGATGTCAGTGCAGGCTAGAGTTACAGCATCACTGCTGATTTGCCCTTCCCTACAGACGCTGGCTGAGATGTTCGAGAGATCCAAAAGTCAAACAAGTCCCCAGTCACTGGTGGAAGGCTCTGGAGGCAATGCCAGGGCAATGGGATGCTCCACATCTCTCTACACCTGCATTTCTCCCCTGAGAACCAAGTGCTGCTGCTGCCTGAACACACAGGAGATTTCTTGGCTTCTTTTCAGTCACCTGAGTCTCCCAGGGCTGGAAATTTCCTCTCTCTATTTCCTCCTCCTGCCATGCATGTCCCATGGGATCCAGCACACTCCATGGCTCTGCCCATCTGCAAAGCAATGCCAGCCCCTTGCACACGAAGCACCATGCTGCACTGCACCACTCATCTGTAGAGGCATTTTCTGCATGTCTCAATCTCTCCATCTAAGACTAGAGGTTTTCTTTTTCCCACCAAGCTGGAAATGATGCAAACAGGACAACAAAGCCAGGAGGTAAGCAAAGGGCAGAGGATGGGGAGCTGGGAGACCCTGCAACTGCTCCATAGCAATGGCTCCAAGGAGCAAAGAAAACCTCCACCAGACAGGTATTGCTTTGGGTGAGGGAAGGGGCCATGAGCATCCCAAGGTGGTACTCCTTGGAGGTCCCAGTCACTGTGTTCCTATCCAAAGCAATGCATTATCATTCCTTCCACTCCCTCCAACCACATGTTCTCCTCAACTGGGTTTCTGCCTACAGCCAAGCCTGGCAGAGCCACCACCTCCTGCGCAACCCATCCTTGCTGAGGCCAGAAAAAAGCTTTGTTCTCGAGCAATGAAGGGTTAAGCCAAGGCAGGACCTCACCTCCCAGCCCGCTCCAATCCCCCCACACCTTGTGCAGAGACGGCTTTGACATTTGAAGATGTTGCACATCGAGGGTCCTTAGGTAACCCTGCAAATTGAGTGTGGCAAAGGCTGCTCAACACTCGGTTTAATCAATGCTCCAGACAGGACTAAGTGCTCTTCAAAGAGGCCCGGGCTGGAGCAACCGGAGCAGCTCGGCAGAGGGATGGGTTTATCGGGCGGTCAGGGAGGCAAGCGTGGGTCTGGAGATGTAAGGGGAGAAGGCAGTGGAGAACTGAGCAGCACCATGGGGTCATTTTCACATCGTGGCTTGTAAAAGCCTGTTCTGCCAGCAGTTTAAAACAGACACAGTCAGCATTTAAGAAGAGCATTTAAAAGAGGCACTGCCAGGGAGTTTTAGATCCTAAGTTTAAATTCCAGTAAGGGGAGGGAGATCTTTTTACGAGACTGAATTTCTTTTTTCTCTCAATGAGAAAAAAAAAATCCAGTATTGCTACTGCAAGGGAGTGCTCCTGAGTTGGAGCAGCCAGTGCTCAGTGCCAATGCCCAAGCAGTGGGCTCTGACAAGGACGATAATTCAGTGATTTTCCATGTCCCAGGCGACCGAGATGGGCTCTACACACAGCGCAGCTGGGACACACTCTCACCTCCCCAGCAGCAACCAGCGGATTAAATGTGATCTTTATCTTGCCAATGTCCCCTAACCAGCACCAGTTCTCCGGGATGTGACACCCCGTGGTGCACAGAGAAGGAAGGGCTATGCCAGGTGGTAGATTCTGTCACCCGAATTGCACCCCAGCAGCTTTCGCACCTCGGCTTGACAGGGCTCTGCGGGGAAAGGGAAGAGCTTGGTGTTATTTGCTATTGCTGCTCCCAACACACGGCAGCTGGTGCAAAACCGGTGTGAAATGGGGAGTGCAAGTCCCAGGGCACCAAATGACCTCACGAGCGAATGACCCCGGCTCCTTTACTAACATGCACCCACCCATCATCCAGGTACCGTTCTGGGACACTGGTCTGAAGCCCATAACAGGCCCTGGCTGTGGCGCAGAAAAAAAAAATAATTGAGAAATGCACATTCTTGGCACAGGCAGCCCCTGGCGAGGTTCGTGCTGGCACTGGTGCCCACGGTGCTGCCACGCTGCCAACAGGAATGGGACCTGCAGCACCCACGGGTACAGAGACCAGGCTGTCTCTGCCTTCTCTTACCTTCTCGCTTCATCCCCATCGCAAGACACTTCTGGTAGCGGCAGTACTGGCAGCGGTTGCGCTGGCGCTTGTCGATCAAGCAGTCCTTGTTGTCACGGCAGGTGTAGGTGAGGTCTTTCCGCACCGTGCGCTTGAAGAAGCCTTTGCAGCCCTCGCAGCTGTAAACCCCGTAATGTTTACCTGTGGGTGGATGTGATTCAGGTTAAAAGGACTCATGAGTGTCCTGGTTGTCCCTGCTTTGCTCTCATTCCCCACAAAGACCATCAGCTCTTCCCAGGGCCTCTCCCATCTGTGTTTGGGGAACCAGAAGTTTATCGGAGCTGTAAGCAAGAGCTAAAGGGCAGTGACTTGGCCTTGCCTTGACTTCTATAAATTCAGCATGCCCTCCATGAGCTATAACATGTCTTATATCCAGGAAAAGGCTTCGCCATTTCTTAGCCATACACTGGGGCGAGGCAGCACAGCAGTGAAATGTGGGGTGACCCTCTGCACCTCTGCAACCCATCCGGACTCCCCATATGACTCAGTACGCTCTGCTCGTGCACCCACACCTCCTCTTTCAGCCCTGGAGCCCCACAGGCTCAGGAGGTGTCCCCAAGGACCTCACAAACCACAGCACTTACAGAGGGATTTTTAAAACAGCATGAGAATAAAGGGAATTAGCACATCTTTATCTCCCATGAGTTGAGAGACTCCATGTAAAACACATCTTCTTATCTGGCACTACATGACAAGACCTCTGCAGATCAAAGGATGGGTAGAGACAGGGACGCTCACTAATGCCTTGCCTTTGGATGGACTGAGGATGTATCCCCACAACTAAGCACAGACCTGGGGGTTCCTTGGCTGGGGTCAGAGCCTGCCCCAGACCAGACTGGTGGAGGCTGGTCAATAAGGGACTTTCTGTCCCCTCTTCTGAGGATGCAGGCAGGGACTCTCCATCGGGAGAGGAGCCATGTGCTGCAGGGACACTGAGAACCGTGCAAACCCTCTCTGCACTCTCCCAGGGCATCCCAGGCTCTCCAAGGGCATCCTCCCAGGGCAGGCACCAGCCTTACCTGAAGATCTGTCCCCGCAGATGGCACATATGTGCTTGGTGAAGGAGGCCATCGTTCCTGAGGGATGTGCTGGCACTTTGAGAACTCCATTGAGCCCCAGGGGTGGCTTAATGTCTTCTGAGCTGCTGACGGGGTTCATGGGCGAGTTGAGCTGTTGAGACAGAAGCACAGCGCTCAGTGGGGAGCTGGGGTGTGTGGGGCCAAGCTTTGCTCCAAGCTTGCCCGTGTGCTTGGATGTGGGACAGGAGGGCCAGGCTTCCAGGGACAAGCACTGCTTAAAACACCCAAAACTGAACCATGAGGATCTGAGCACGAGTCCAGAGACTGAAGGCACAAGCGCTCATTTGCTGCCCCGGCATAAAATCCAGATGCCACCAGACCTCGCTGCCCGCGCTGGGATGGAAGGAGAGGGGACACAGCTGGTCCCCCGTGCACCACTAGGACCCACACACGGCTGACACCACTCGCCCTACAAGGGATGCTTCTGCATGATTTAAGGGGAAGGTGGGTTCCTCCTGTGTTGACAGACACTCAGCCATGGCCAGGCACTTGCTTCGCGCTGTCTCGGGATGCGGAGCAGGGAGTTGCAGAGATGGTTGGTGGGAGAGCAGCTGGCTGGGAGCAAGCGCTCGGATGGATGATGAAGGCCAGGGCACTCTCAGTTTAGCTCTGCAATTTACAGATACTCTTTTAGCATTATCTCTCCAAAGGAAAGCTGCACAGTAAATAAATAGATCCCAGATGCAATGGGGCCTGGCTTTCCAGAGCTGGCTTGGGTGGGATACTTCTCTGCAACCTCCAGCCTTGCAGCAGCCTCTCTGCATGCCTCTCCTTCCCTCCCCAGTGAGCTCAGTTCCCAGCAGCCAGTGAAGAAAGCAAAGAACTGGGTGGAAGCTGGGTGCTGGCATGGCCCCATAGCGCTGGTATTGAGTGAAAGATTCCTGGGCTGATTCCCACAGTGCCCTGTGCAGCAGGGCAAGGATGTTATCCGCTGTCTACAAAGAGAAACTGAGGCACGGAGATGTAGGACTGACCCATTTTGATGAGAAGAGCTCACAGCAACCCTGCACAGCCCAGGGCAGGTTTAAGGAGGTTTGGGACTGGATGGGGGAGCCAGGCTGGGTCAGCTCAGGATGTGGCACTGGCTGGGAGCACTGTGACTGTCCTGGGGACCAGGCGGCCAGGGGCTGTCACAGATCCTCCATCCCTGCCAACTTCTAAATCCAGGTTGGACATGCAGGATCTGTGCTTCAGTTTGTTATGTTTCTCTTCCCTAACAGCAATTGCACTTGTCACAAATTAATTCAGGGAAGTCCCAGGGCTTGTGATCTGTCAATTAGAAGCAGCACAGTCATTCCTCTGGCTTTAAAGTCTCCAGGCTGGTGGGGAATATTTGGCAGGCAGATGACTAATAACTGCAGAACAGAGCAAGGTAAACCCACCCTGGAGAGATGTGATGGATCTGCCTCCCTCTCCCGCCCTGCCTGTGCCAGCTGATGATGAATCAAAGGCAGCCAGGACTCAATGCCACCAAGAAATACGCTCCTGGGCTTCAGCAGCTCTTCAGTCCCATTGCCACAGAGCAGAGAGGGGAGGGATGAGCGGGTCCCTCGATGGGGTGAGCGCTGCGCCCTGCCCAGGAGGGTGGGAGGGTTCCACCACCCCCCATGCATCAGCAGGACGCCTCGGCTGGAGCTGAGTCAGCCCCGGGCCAGGATGGGGGAAGTCATCGGTTCCTCTCACAGCGCCAGCCCAAAACCTCAGCAGAGGCCCCACGTGCACCCCGGGGTTCCCACAGCGCCCCGGCGCCTGTCCCGCGCCTTCCCTCTTCCGCCGAGCGAAATGGGCAGCACGTGCAGGCAGGCAGCAGACAGAGGAGGAGGCAGCGGCCCCCACCTTGGCACAGCACTTCTGGACACCCCCAGCTGAGCAAGCAGGGATGAGGGAGGAACCAGTGCTCTGCTTCCCCAGTGACACCACGACTGCTCGGCTCCTCTCCCATCCCTGCTCAGTTCATTGCACCGGGGACCAAATCCTGTCCCTTCCAGAAAGCAGAGCTTTGTTCTTCCTCCCATCCAAAAAAACCTCAACCCTTCTCCAATCCCCCAGGCACCCATACAAAGAGCATTGTGCAAAGGCAGAGAGTGGCTCTGCAAAAGCCTAATCCTGCATCTGATCTCACCCCGCTCACCCCCGGGGCACCCCGAGCTGCTGCCAGCGATGCCTGGGGCAGCTGCTGGTCGAGGTGCAGGGAAAGTCCCTCTCTTTTGGCTCTTACTGAAAATCCAGCTGTTTTTAATTATTATTTTCCCAGAATCTTCAGGTAAAAGGGTTTAAATACGTGTTAAACCACAGCGAGCAGTAGAGCTGCTGGGTCCAGCCTCCTGGTCCAGCTGGGACCTTGTTCACCACTGCAAACTCCCCCTGCTTCCAGCCAGCTCTGGCCCTGCACACCTCTGCCACAGCACCAGCATCCCCTCCTTGAGAGGGTCTGGGGACTCTCTGCATGCTGAGACCTCGTCCTAGAACACCCTGCTTTGCACCTGGATTTTGGAGTTGCCATGCAAAAGTCCCAGAGAGCACATGGTGCTGATGCGAGGGTGTCGGGAGCGCTCCGAGCATCCCTCAGCGCTGGTACCACGGGTTGCTGGGTCCTCACATCCACCAGACCATATGGTTGAGGGATTGCACCCCAGCTTTTGCGAACCCACCAGTTCCTTCTCACTTCAGTGCTACAGGAGCTGCGGTTGGAGGGGACCCACCACACCTCACGCGCCCCGTGCCCTTCTGCTCTGCTGGCTTTCCAGAGGCGACGAGGCATGGCCTGATGGCAAGTGGCATCTGCCATCTGATTCAAACCACCTTCCATCAGTGCCATCCCCACCCGGCGACGGGGGCCACACGCCTCATTACACCCCGCGCTTTGCCGACCGGTGCAGTGGCACGGGGGGGCCACGCTCCCCTCCAAGCATCAGCCCTGCACCTTCCTCCTCCTCCTCCTCTGCAGGCCCAGGTAGGCACTTCTGCCTGCTGCAGGGACGGAGATGGGGACAGGGACCTAATGCGCCCAGACAGGGGACAGATGGCAGGAGCCATTAGGCTGAAGACCTCCTAACTGTCACCGCTAGGAAAACCACTTAAGACAAGTCCCTGAGCAAAGGACGGGCGCTCGCACCGCGCCAAGAGGGCTGGAGCCGCCGCGCTGCCGTCTCACTCCCCGTCACCATCTGACCACGCTCTCAATTCCCCTTTCTGCCCTGTGGCTGCGTTTTATTTCAGTTCCCCTGGCTCGCCGGTCCCTAAAGCAAACCGCATCTTATAATTGATGCTGGGGGCGTACTGCCCCTTCCCCATTCCCTCCCCAGCTTGCGGGTCACCCCTGCGTTGCTTCACATCCCTTCTTTCCACTCCTTCCCCACCATCTCGGCGCTCTTGCTGCTAATTTTGTTCTGGCCGCCCATTCCCAGGCACTGTTTCAGTTCCCCTTCCCTCAGCCATGGGACAGGAAGTGGCTTTTCCACTCCTCTCCATCTCCAGCACCAGGGACCGCGACTCGGATGGACCCAGCCACACCAGGGTGCAGATCCCCACACATCTATAGGAGATAGACGGGCTTCTCCCACATATCTGCACAGGAGAAACCTATCAAAAGGCAAATGAAGCTGCCACCTCTCCAGGGATTCTGCATCCTGGGGAAGTTGCCTGGGGGTCCCAGGGGACGGGACTCAGCACAGCCCCCAGCAGAAAGACCTGTTATCTCTGGAAATAAATCAGGCCAATATTTAAAAATAAAGGTGCCGGCAGGTGCTTAACTCCCAGAGAGGGCCTGGAATAAATAAACCCGCAGCGAGTGGCAGGTGGTGGCCAATTCCTTAATCTGCCCTTTTACTAAACATATACCCTGCGAGCAGCCAGCAACAGGTGGCAGGGGCTGGTCAGCGTGCCCCGATCTTGCTATTTTTAAGAAGAGCTTATCTCTCTGTAGCTAGACGGAGGTTTTTTACATAATCTTAATCTCCAGCCAGCAAACGCTGGTCCTTCTCCTGTAAGGAGAAGGGGGCAGCGGGCAGGGGACCCCTCGGCACTTGGGCTGGCCCCAGAGGGTACGTGCCAGTTCCCAGGAGGGCACAGGACTGCTTGGGCAAGAAGCATAGGTCACCCTTCCTTACCTGCGGGCTGCTGGTGCCGAATCCCAGGCTGGGGGTGGAGGGGACGGACATTGAGTGTGGGCCCATAGGGGAGCTGATGACGGAGAACGGAGGTCCCATGCCGTTGATGGGCGAGCTCAGGGTGCTGATGGGTGAGTGGAGCTGGCCCGGGGAGCCCAGCGAGGAGCCGATGCCCGGCCCGATGGACGGGTGGAGGGATGGGGTGGCCATGGGCCCCCGGCTCGTGGGTGAGTTCAGGGACGTGGAATTGACTTGGCTGGAGAAATCTGCAAGAGAGGAAAGAGAGAAACAGGGCTGAGTGTCCCATCCACGACTGGCTCTGACATGGCCACAGCAAGCCCTGAGCAGGGGCCTTTTCAACTTGCCCCCGAAATTCCCCACGCATCCTCCACCTTTCAAAACCACCTTCTGCTGGAGGACCTATGCAGGTGTTCAGAGCGTTTCCACCTCGTGAGCCTGTTGCCACTGCCCTCCTCCACATCGCTGCACCCCATGCGGGCAGCATCGCTGCTCCAGCTGATGCACGAGCAGCGACCCCACCGATGCCCTCCTCACAACACAATAATTCAGATTTATCGCAGCATTGCAGGGCCACGCGCTAAGACAGGCTGCGTGCATGGCAGGACCCACACGCTGGGGTGCTGGGGAGGGCAGTTTTGGGGGACGAGCGCAAGTTTGTGTGTCCGCACGTGTGGTTTGTGCGTCTGTCAGGGCACAAGCATGCCATGGGGAAATCATCGTGCGTCGGCAAGGAGGAACATGCCTGCCCACTGCGGGGGGAGCGGGGGCAGCTTTCGGCATCTGCCTGCCCCTCAGCAGCTCTGCGGTCCCGGGGGAGCAGGAGGAAGGAGAGAGGGGGCGGGAAGGGGGTGCTTAAAAATAGACTCCGATTCTCCCCAGAGGAGACATGGAGCCATTCCTGGCACATTTCCTCCTCATCCTGTCATGCCGCTTGCAAAACAATCCCACGCGAGGAAGGGGCTGGCTCGTGGCGCCCGGAAGGCAGCAGGGGCGGATGAGCAACGCAGGCAGGGGCCCCATGGCATCACCATCGCTTGCTCTGACACCCACCAGGAGCCCCAGTTCAAACCAGCAAACACGAGCCTGGAAGAGGAGGCACTGGCATGGCTGCTTGGCCAGGAGCTGTTCATGGGAGGGTCTGGAAGCCACTGCTTCTGGCTGCAGGCCCCAAAGTTAACTAAATTCTGGGAAATGTTGTCTTCAGTCACCTGCTTGGGGTCAGCTGCCTCTCCAGTATTATGGAGCAATTAGCATATGAGCATTACAGAGTGGGAAATGTGCTTCCTGACCCCACAGCAAGCCCAGCTCCAGCAATCTGCCCTGGAGATCATCGATCCCAGTGGGGAAACCCCAGTATGGGGAAGAAAAGGCCCAGCAAGGCAGGGATGCTCCTCTCGCAATGCCGTCCATCCCACTGCTGCACTGAGTCCCACTGCTGCTTCCAGCATCCCATCGCTGCTCCTGGAATCCCAGTACTGCTCCCAGCATCCCACTGCTGCATCCAGAGTCCCATCACTGCATCCAGCATCCCACCACTGCACCTCGCATCCCACCCAAAACCCCACCACTGCACCCTGCATCCCACTCAGCATCTCACTGCCAGCTCCTACTGCACTGGTGTCCTGTCCCATATGGGGTGCCCAAACCCTGTGCTCCAGCCAGATGCCACCAAACAAGCCTGAGCAGGCTTCTCTGCGGCCGCGGCAGATGCAAGCATCCCTGTCCCTGGGGACATGGCCTCACATTGGCTCCCGCAGGATGTTGATACAAAACAACCACTGGCCACCACATCACCCGTGGCTGAGTGATGCGCGTGCGGCACAACAGGAACTCCGGGACATTCCTTGGGGCTTCGGGGTCTGCTCCTGGGGTTTAGCACAGCGGGACCATGCTTCCCGGCTCTCTGCTTTTTGGTATCTTTAAGGGGCTGGGATGGGGAGCTGAGATGTGGGCTGTGCCCCTGTCACCATCACGGGTCTGGGGACAAAGGCAGGAGCTCATTCTGCAGCACCCCAGTGTCTGGGTAGGTGGTCACAGCCCACCGTTCTCTGAAGGACCCCTAGAAACACCCGCTGGCCAGGGAGACGGATGGTGACCTTCCAGGGATGCACGGGATCTCCTGGCCAAGGGAAACAGGCACTTGACCTGCCTGTGAAGGGAAGGCAGTGAAACACAGTCTTTCCTTTTCAAAGATCCTGAATATTTAAGGCAGGAGAGGTCACAGGCAGGTTACTGGCCACCGGCCCATGCCTACTCAAGCACTTCAGAAAGCAAAGCATGTGCAGGGCCAGCATCTCTCCCAAAATACCCAGCCCCTGGGTACCACAGGTGCTCCCCATCCTTGGGTGCTTCCGAACCAGCTCCATTCACCCAGCCCAGTTACATGCTTTGCTTTCCCCACAGACACGATCCCGGCACCCAGTGAGGAACTGGGTGTGTGTTGTAGGGCTGGGCTGGAGAAAATAATTCAAGCAACAACAAGAAAAAGGAAAGCAGGCGAGAGGAGGAGTAACCCTGTATCAAACAGGCGGGTCAGTGAGAGGTACATGTAGGCACGGACACAAGTTTGGGTGTGTATTCACCCAAAACCCTTGGCCAAACGCTCTGAGGTCTGAACCAGACCTGAACTCCTTCAGAGCAAAAATACACTTACAAAGGAAAAAAGCCTAGAATGAATAAATGCATTTAATAGAAACAAATAAATCCCCAAACTGATGGATACCACTTGGGATGGATACTCGCAAATGGGATAGGTATTTTCCTAAATGCATTTTCAGTTCAAGCAGTGTGAGACTATCCATCTTCTTGCGTAGTTTTGCCATTTAAAGCCATGGTGTGTGACTATCTCTTGACCAAAATAAACTCTGTGCCTGTTTCTAAGTTAAAAAAAAAAAAGTAGTTCTCAAAGCATTTCCCCTCTTGCCGCACCCATAAATTGCAGCTATTTTCTCTGTGTGTCCTTTGTTTAAACACAACGACCTCTATATATCTTACAAGATGCCCCATGGCAGTTGTGAGATCAGAAACGAGAGCTCTTCAGCAGCTGAAGAATTTGCAATGAAGCTCTTTTTCTTTCTCTAAATGACGAACACGCGAGCCGCAACAAAATTTGGATGGGAATTCTTCCTCAAGAATAAGACACTTAGGGCAGGGCCACATGATCCATCTCAAGCAGTGGGGCTGGAGCCAGGTGCGTGCTCTCAGCTCTCCTCCACTGAAACCATCACAAGGAGACCAGAGCCAGCAGGGTTTGAGCTGGCTTCAAGTTAAGGAGTCTTGTTTTTCTGGCACACTGCCTTTTCCCTCCGCAGACACCTGGCTTGGCAAGGTCTCTTTTGGGTGCCATCATCCCTGCTTCACAGGTGGGAAACTGAGGCACGGGGAGAGCAATGTCCCCGAGGAGGCTGCAGCCCTGCTCGCAGACACTGATGGCATCAGCAGGGCACAGGGTGCTGTGACCTTCACCAAGGTGACATGGGAAACTGGAGCCAAAGCTGGGAACAGATCCTGGCTATTTACTATTATTAATTTTCAATAAGGGAAGAAAAGATTTTCATAAAACATTTGTCCCCATTCTCATGAGGCTGCATCAGACACCCAGCCCAGTGCACACAAGCACCACATGTCCCCAGGCAGTTTCACTGCTATTTTCCATCCCCGTGCCATTCTTGGGGCCAACACCATAAGCCTCCAGTTTGGACCAGCAAATAACCACGTCTGGCTGGGGCCCAGAAGGGCAGGTTACACCCGTGGGAGCTGCGGTTGCCAAAAGCATCCGACTGTGCCACCAGCCCTCGCAATACTTCCCTGTCCCATTTTGTCACCCAGTGCTGCTGCTCGGCCGAGGTATGTCTGCAGCAGCCCCACAGCCCCTAACAGCTTTTGCTGATACGGCATGTCAAGAAGGGTTGTGATTTTAACGTTTCTCGACCACAAAATGTCCCAGAGCAGAAACAATTACAACACCACAGAGGTGCTTTTTTCTTCCCCCTTCCCCCCCAGGATAGCTCATTTGTACCAGAATAAACTGTACCAGCATAAGCTTTCACCAGTATAATCTTCATTTATGCTTAAGAGGCTTTGCCAGTAAAACTACAGTGACCTAGCTCGGCTGGAAAACCTTTTCTCGCATATCCAGGGAGTTTACTCAGCAACTCGGAGGCTCGGCAGTCTGCTTCAGAGAGAGGGGAAGTTAAAAAATACCTCAAGGCACAAACAGACTCCCAGACCCACACTTCTGTGCAGCCAAGGAGGGTTGCACAACCCCACAGCCCATTAGGTGGGATCGGAGGGGTCTGCGGGCACTCCACTGCTCCAGGGAGCCGTCACGGTGCAAGCACCCATGCACTCAGCCCTGACGCCAGCCGAGATTTGGAAAGCCACCCGCGCCCCCACACTTCCGCTTTTCTTTTTTCTCTCAGCACCTCTTCCTCCTTAATCAGAGAGCAGATCAATTCTGAGTATTAAACAGCAGGAAATTCTAAATTTGGTTTGCCACTCCCTTCCTCAAGTCAGTCCTTGGTGTTAGGGCTTTGCAGTGCCGTGGGGCCACGTTTGGAGGGGACTGGGACCAGCAGCTGAGATCAGACTCCTGGAAATGTCGTCCTTCTCCTCTGCTCTCAAGTGCCACTTTAGCGTTGACCAGGTTCAAAACTCTGACACCCAAATACGCGTGAATTTTCACAAAATGCGGCACCAAGAGCACTGTTCCTTCTTTTGGTGCTGCTGCGGGAAGTGAGTTTCCCTAAATAAACCTGGTAGTGAAAATACCTCTCCATTGGTTCTCATTCCTCAAAAGCAGTATGGAAATCTCTTCCCGTGCTTCCCATCCAAGGAACCTCAAATCATGGAGGTTTCCACCTCTCCTCCTTTCGCCTTCCCCAGTGCAACCAGTACAGCAAACCAAGGCACTGGTGGCAAACAGCCCACACCCACCTACAAAAGGGGATGCTGAGAGCCACCGGCAAGCAGCAAATCTGGGTTTGACCGTAGTTTTCCGGTGGAAATTGCCATGGGAATACAATGACCACAAGAGGTCAGGTCCTCACTTTTGTCCCTGATCAAAAACTTCAGTGAACAGAGAGAATATTTACAGCGGACAAATTTAAATAGCCCCTGGCCTACAATCTTGAGTAAGTTTGCTCTCAATTCACACCAGCACAGCTGAGAAGTGAGAATGGAGCAAGAAAATTGCCTCTTCCCTTTGCTGTGGACCTGGCAGTGCCTGACTTGGGCAAGCTC